CTACAGCAGCATACATACTGGGGTGGGGGCAGGGGCATATGATGGAACCTTCTTCCTGTGTGATCATCTGCACCAACCTAGCTCACAAGTAGGAACAATGGTAACCTTGGTGACCTTTGGGACAAGACTGGACTCTACAATCAAGAATGTGATTAGCTGAGACCTGCTGGAGAGGATAAAAACCCATGGCATGTGTGAATGGAGAGAGAGAATGGTGTGGCTAGCTGAAGGATCCTAACCTCAATTCCTATCCCTACTGACCCCCTCCAAAACCCCTCTCCATTTCCCTTAAAGTGATATTAAAGGCAAAAAATGTTTTCCCCTCCCCCCCATGTAAATGTTAGCACTTACCTTAAATGATGTCTCTTATTCTGGTCTTCCTCTTCTTTCCCCATGTTTTTATGTGTCCCTCCAGCGGTGTATTTAATATAGGGGAAACTGTTTTTTTTTTAAAATTTCGGTAATTTTTCCTTAATATAGTAAAAAAATAAAACCCCCAGTGGTGAATAAATACCACCAAAAGAAAGCTCTATCTGTCCCCAAAAAAGGGTATAAAATTCATTTCAGTACAGCGCTGCATGACGGAATAAATGTCAGTTAAAGTACCGCAGCGCTGAATACTGAAAAATGGCCTGGATGGGAAGGGGGTTTAACACCGTGGATGTCAACTGGTTAAAATGATTTCAAGCGGGTTTTTTATTTTTTTTTACACTTCTTGCCTATATCTACTGCTTGCTAGCAGTAGATATAAGCAAAAAAAACCGGAGGGTTTACAACCCCTTTAATTGTATGTATATTCCTATTTGTAAATAAACCCAACACTTATTTAAGATTCAGTTGTTCATCAGTAATTTAAGGCACCCCCAAAGCAGAGCACATTCTACAAGATGCTACTTGACTTGACTTATAAACCTATGAGTTCAATGCAAAGCTACGGACATCATAATAAGGAGTCTTATGTTTCCTGTAGAAGGGTGTGGTCCACCTTGTCACAACACCATAACTCTACAGAAATGGTCCACGTTACCACGACATAATAACTCTACAGAAATGGTTCTCCTGGCGAGGACACAATAACTCTACAGAAATGGTTCTCCTGGCGAGGACACAATAGCTCTTCAGGAAATGTAATTCTTCAGAACTTGTTTCCTTGTAAACATTTACATATCAAATTTATATGCCGTTGATGGCAATCTTTTGTTTAGTTTAGATTGTGAAAACACCGTATGCAGTATATATAGAAGCGCGTTGGAGCTATTTTACTAGAACTGATTCAGCTAACTCCATTCTACGTGTGGAAGTCAGTGAGTAACATCAGACCAGTGAGTACTATTTGAATTATATGTATATGATTCTGTTTCTGCATACCTGAAACACAGAATAACTTCGGCGGTAGGTCAACAATATCTCCAGAGATGTCTGCATAGCATTTCCCTTGACAGGTTCCTTGATGGTGACGACAGTGGACTATGCTCCATCAGAAGCCCGTGTGATGGTGTTGAAAACACAGCACCACAATTGGGAGACAGGGAGAGAGCATTGTCACCCTATAACAGGAAGTGCCTGAACAAGGACCTTCAAGTCAGGATCACCAGGGATTAGATTGAATGAAAGCTGCAGGTTGAGAATTTAAAAAATAGGTTTACATCTACTTTCATTTTTGGTTGGTTGGATTGGTTGGAAATTGGCTTACAGTCAACGTGTTCCTTTGCCCATTCCAAGTTGATCTGGTTGGAGCTTACACAAAGACCAAGACCGTAGCAGTATGTCTGTTGAGGACCCACAGCAAAACCAATAGAGGAGCCCCCAATGATCTCAATCTCAGGCCTATTCCTCTAGAGCAGTGGTTCTCAACTGGTGGGTCGTGACCCAAAGGTGGGTCGCGACCCCATGTTCAGTGGGTCGCGGCATGCATTCCACTGCACTAGGAGAGAGTTTTCTCAGCCTCCCCCATAGTGCAGCACTGTCAGTTCTCCTGCCCAGCAGCCATTTAAAATATGCTGCCCGCTGCTGAGTGTCAGCTTGGGGTGGGGTGGGCTGGGGGTATGGCCGTGAGGGAGCTCCATCCATACATGCATTGCTTACAGCTCCCTTGTGTGCCCTTATGGCTACAACCACCACGCAATTGCACCTACTGTTCATTCTGGTAGGGGAATTGCTGGTGGTGTGCTGTGTTGCAATTCATTTAAATGGCACCCTAAACACACCTCCTGCCCATAGTTTGATTGCACCGGAACATGCGGTTCTGCATTGCCGGGCATTCCATTGTGTTGGGTCGCGACTTACTGACCAAGGACAAATGTGGGCCCTGAGGTTATACAGGTTGAGAACCACTGCTCTAGTGATACAGAATCCTAATTGTCATCACAGCAGTTGTATAGAGGTTCACAAACTTTATGTACACTAAGGGTATGTCATCCCTAACAGTTAAGCACTATTATTTGCTCCCTTTTAGGTCTGTTAAGGTGAACCTTCCACCTCTGTGTCAAGGTCCACTTGTTCAAGGTGCCCACCCCCACCCCCAAATCTGGATAAAAGTACCTGAGGAGTGAAAAATATATAGTATACCTACTGTTTAGTACTTTGGTTTGGTATTGTTAAAGGTAAAGCTGAACTCCGGACACAAAAACTTTCATTTTAATAAATTCCTCAATGGTACCAAAAGCTGTAAACCTTTTTTGTGCTCCAAATGCCTTTGCAAACCCAAATTTGACCTTGTAACAATAGTGGTGATATTGGTCCTGTGCTGCACTAGTCTGTGCCAAGAGCAGAGCTATGGGAGGGGCCCAACCAGGCAACCCAGTTCAGGATGCCTGCAGAAAACTATAGGAGGAGGTGCAGACAAGACCAGTCGCCCTGCACAAGGAGCGAGAGTAGCAGTGACTGGTCTTTATTACAGGAGGGGGCAGAGACAAGACCAGTAACCCTGCATAAGGAGCAAGAGTAGCAGTGAGAGGTCTTTATTACAGGAAGCTCCTGAACAGAGACAAGGTACCCAATGGACGCTGGGTGAAAAGCATGGCAGGGCAGCAAACAGAAATAATTATAGCATCAGGTGAGCAGTTGCCGGTCCTAGATGTCCTAGAGTAGTACATGGGCTCAATAATTTAATGGCAGATCGGAGCGGGGAGAGGTGAATCCAGCCCCTCCCCCTGTCATGGCAGAGAGCCGTGACAGGATCGAGAGGTGAGCGAACCCGGTATGTGTTCGCTCAGCTCCCGATCTACTGAGCCGACCTGTGACAGTCTCATTGTCACAGGTCGGCTAGAACTATGAGGTGAGTGGAAATCACTCATCTCATAGTTCTCCTTTAATTTTAAGCATTTAACTTATCTGCCATTACAGCAAATGTTTCCTTCTCCCCTACAGACCAGCTGCATTTAAATATGCTACTCGTGAAGGTTCTTGGCCTACTTTTGCTTCATGTGGCTTTAGTGACCCCGGGGACACAGATATGCCATGACCCCGATGAGAATGCCTACTCAATCATCACATGTGGCGCTCCAGGGAAGGACGGTCTACCGGGCACAAATGGAAGCGATGGAGCAAAAGGGGAAGGGGGTGAAGCAGGTAAAAACACAATTGTAATGCCAATAAGTACAAAGGGGCCACATGAGAAACTGGGACTGTCGTGGAGGGCCAACACATTACTATGAAGGTGCGTAGGCACACACTCACATATGTAAGTTGATAACAACAAATCTGATAGCGGGCAACTAATGAAGGGGGCCCTCTGATGGATGTAACTAATAATTAGTTGTCCAAATCAGAGTGTCCCCATTTGATTGCCCCCTTAATTTCGTAGTTAATGTCAGGGGGCGCTCTGGTGGGAACAAGCAATATAAGGGGGCACTCTGATGGGGGCAACCAAGGTAAGAAGGCACTCTGATGGGGATAACCAATGTAAGGGAGCACTCTGACGGGGACAACCAATGTAAGGGGGCACCGTGATGAGGACTACTAATTATTAGTTGTCCCTATTAGAGTGCCGCCCTACATTTTTTGTTCCCTGTAGACTGCCCCTATATTTTATTGTCCCCACATACCTTATTTTCCTACCCTTTTAGTAGGTCAGAGGTGGAGCAGTCTCCAGGAGAGAACGGAAGAAGATATTCTTCCATTTTCCGGTAATTCTGGGTGCAGGGAACTCATTTGACATCAATGGTTGCTAGGACCACCGGCGGTCTTAGCAACCAATGACTACAGAGGAGGTGGACACCTGACATCATTGGTTGCTACGACTGCCAGCGGTCTTAGCAACCAATGACTGCAGAGAAGGTGGACACTTGATGTCACTGGTTGCTAGGATGCCAGAGGTCCTTGCAACCAACAACTAAAGAGGAGGGGGCCTGAGCTGGGCTATAGCTGGCAGTGGATGCACTGTCAGCCAGCCATAACCGAGAGCAGGTTGGCACCTGGCACCATTTGGTCCATGTCAAGACCACGGGCCAGACAGGGACAGCCAAAGGGCTTTATGTGGCCCTGGGGCCATAAAATGCCCATGTCTGAAATATACAGATCAGTAGACCAAAGCCAATACTTCACCAGGTAGGTGGACCTCACATCTGGGAGATCTTCTGATGTCTTATATGTCTTGGAGAATCCGCAGAGAGATATAGTACTCATTTGTCCTGTTGTATACTCCATCATAAAAATTAGGTTTTGTCTAACTATCCTTTGGGATATATTTAATAAGACATGGGGACCTCGGGGTGTTCTGGAAGCTCACCATATTCAAACCTTATTTTCCCCATCTTCTGCCCTTCAGGAGAGAAAAGTAGATGAAGGTCTTGTCAGGGGGAGTATTGTGATCTCTGTTTGAGGAACAAATGGTTGGAAATGTTACACTGACAGAATAGTTGTCATGCTGCACTCAACGTGAAAAAATATATCTGACTGGAGGTCTTACTGAACTTTTCAAATGTATTCCATGACTAGGCCTTCCTGGACTACCAGGGAAAACTGGACAAACTGGACCAAGCGGAGAGCAGGGACCAGCAGGACCAGTGGGAGAAAAAGGAGCTCCAGGTAAACTGTATAAGAAGAGTCATAACGCTCCTGTCTATTCAAGAATTATTATTATACAGGATTTATATTGCGCCAACAGTTTGCGCATCGCTTTACAATATAAGGAAGATATTACAATCACAATACAATTCAAGACAAGATGGCCTGCCCCTGAGGGCTTACAATCTAAAAGGGAGGGGGAAGTGATACATGAGGAGGTAGCTGTGTGGGGATGAATTGTTTGAGAACGTGATAGTTCAGTGGTCAGGTTGAGGTGGGATAGGCTTCCCTAAGGAGATGAGTCTTTAGGGAACGGCTAAAGGCAGTCAGAGTAGGCGATAGATGGACAGGTTGGGGTAAAGAGTTTCAGAAGATCGGGGAGACTCTAGTGAAGTCCTTGAGGTGAGCATGGAAGGAGTTCATGTGAAGGTGCACGGGGTGGAGGAAATATCATGAGCTCAGTTTTTGAAAGGTTGAGTTTTAAGAAGTGTTGTGACATCCAGATGGATATGTCAGTTAGTAGATTAGTGACACGCAAGGACACTGAGGGGGTGAGATGTGGAGCAGAAAAATAGATTTGAGTGTCATCTGCATAGAGATGGTATTGGAAGCCATGTGAGGTTATTAACTGACCAAGGGAGGAGGGGTAGATGGATAAGAGGAGGGGTCCAAGGACAGAGTCTTGGGGGACCCCTACAGAGAGAAGGAAGAGGAGTGGAGGAGTTAGATGTGTAGGTGACACTAAAGGAGCGCTTAGATAGGTAGGAGGAGAACCATGAGAGAGCAGAGTCTTGTAGGCCAAGCAAATGGAGTTTTTTGGGGAGCAGCAGGGGTGTGGGAGTCTTCTATGCCCATCTTGAAGACAGAAGAAACTTGTGAAATACTTGGTCCTGTTTATTGGACAATAACTTTGTCATTACTTTAAGTGACACTAAAATACATTCAAGTCCCTTAACTATGAACAAAAATGTATCTTATTTGTGTATCACTCGGCTGTAGATCCTCCAATCATCTCTGAATTGGTGCTGGCACAGTCCTTCGAGCTTGGAGTATTGGGACATACTATACACACCTTGTGTACTTCAATTACGTTTTTGGAAGTGTGTAGTACATCCAGTGTCCATAAATGGTTAATAATAAAGCTTTGAGGTATTGGAGGGGTTAGTACACTTCAGATTGACACCAAGTCCAGAAAAACTATTATAGAGATATTAAGCCCACTGCTTATATCAGGAGTGAGTCAGGGTGCTGTAATGTTTTCAGGAAGCTATGTACAGCACCCTGCCAGCCCCTCCCACCAGCCATGACCTGCCTGCATTGTATAGAGAAGCACAGGGACGTAGTGATGATGTCACTGGGTCTAAAATAAGGTTTGTATAGAAAACAGAAAGATGTTATTTATACGTTTCATTAGCATGTTGATGAGGGGAGAGGGGAAGGACCAGGGAAGACAAAATATAAGCAGATTAAACTTTAGCATTGACTCTTTCATGACTGATTAGGTCTTCCTGGAGAACAAGGGATTGCTGGACCAACTGGAGCCAAAGGAGAAAAAGGAACCAACGGGGAACCAGGTAAGCTGGGAATTTGTCCTCTGAGGTGGGGGCTCATATTAGAACTAATATGGTAAAGGGGCTTGGTCTGCAATGCAGGCCATTGGGTACCCAGGTGTATGGGAGCTCATATTAGAACTAGGGAGGTCTGTGCCCCAGTTGCAGACCAAACTACGGCTAGATTTTGGTGGGCATTTTGGACACAGGGTTATATCAAAGTTCACAACCGACATCACAGGGAGAGAGGTGGCTCTGCTGAAAGACAGAAAGTATCTTTTTAGCAGATACATGTGCTTGGAAGGATTGCATGACAGCAGGTACATACAGGTTGGAAGGATTGGCTGTGTGTCTGCCTTTGGGGGATTGCTGGGACTATTCCCCACTAGAGGTGGGAAGCGAGGAGGAGAGTTTCTTCAGCTCGTTAATATGGGGTAGTAAATGGGACTCTGTCAAATGCTGTGAGACTAAGTACTCTTTTGGAAAAAAGGTTCCCTATTCAGAAGCTAGAGTTACCCAAGGAAGTAATCTTACAAGTAACATCTAAATAGAGACTAGGTGAGCACCTAAGCCACCCTTCATAGAGAAAAGGGAGTTCTTGTTCAAGTTCCTATTCAGAAAGAAGTATACTGAAAGAAGACTGAAATGAAGAAACCCGTTTGGTGGGCGATGGATCTGTACTAGGCCAGATATGAAAAATGGAACAATGATTGATAATTGAATTGTTTACATAGAAGTTACTATTCAATAAAAAGGTTTATAGATAAAAGTGGTGGCCTGCTGGAGGTGGGTCAGCCTGCATGGCAGTGGTGAGGAGGGCTTACTGGTAAGACCTTAGCCACTGTAACTCAAAATTTTGATGAGTGTTTGGTGTTTAGCTAGACTACCGAGGACTAGGCCTGAAGCCTGTGGAAGCTGAGGGGCCCCTTGTGAGCAGGTGAGTGAGTGTCTCCTGATGTGGCTTGAAGGCTATGGAGAGATGAACTGGAGTGATGGCCTTGTGTCCTTGGACCTTCCATCTCTGGAAACAGAGCAGAAGGCCAAGGTGGACTCTGAGGCTTAGACAGTGCATTGTTAGATGGTACATCATGCTCGTGTCAACATTCCGATTCTTTAAAGTAGTCCAGATGGAAGATCCTGCATTAGGTGTAGGACAAAGATGTCCTCAAGACCACCAGTGTGGCCCTTTGTGAGTTGGGATTGTGATCCCCTGTTTGGGAACATGAGGAACAGCAGCATGGCTAATGGGGAGGCTACTGGGTGGTCCTGGGATATGAGGTCACACTAGTGTCCAGAAGAAGTATGAGAGTCCAGGAAGGTTGTCTAGGGGGTCCGGAACTGAAGTATACAGGTATGTAATGACAAAAAGGTGTTGTTGGGGGAGAAGGGACCCATCCAAGTTTGGAGAAGGTCCTGGGATTTTGAGTTACCACCTGAGCCAAGTACATTTACGTTTTTTGGGCTAAATGCTATATTAGCGATCCTTTAGCACAAGTTGTAAATAAATCCCAATATAATTGTATATGGTGTTTGCACATGAATGTTTTCAGTGACTATATCACATCTGTTTAGGAACACCTGGTACACCAGGGGTCGCTGGACCAGCAGGGCCAAAAGGAGAAAAAGGAGACAGCGGGCCTTCAGGTAAAAAAAAGTCATTGCACACAAAGGCTGTTAAATTCCCCATCATTGTATTCCCTTCACCAGGGCTACCGGTCATGTCACCACCCCTGTATAGTCTTTGCAGGGGACCATTGACGTCCTTAGGTCAGTGGTCCCCACGATGGGTGGATCTGTTTTGCAATGTACTCCGGTCCGTCTTGCCCATGCATGTCCTTACCTCTTCATAGACAGCATATGCAAAAGTCAGCCTCTGATGCTCACCCACATTGGCAAGTATAAAGAGTGCCTAGGCACCTTCACATACCAGTGCACTTCTTGTCTTCAGAAGGAATTCCAAACAAAATGTTCTTCAAGGTGCTCCTTAGGCACGATTAACATTTTTAGACGTTCCCTAAAGATCTTTACTTCTTCAGTTCTGGTCCTGTGCCAATGATGACTTTGGTTAAAATCCAGATCCTTGACTGACAGATATTTGTTGGCTACAATCTATCCCGACCTTCCTCTGGCACACATTCTATACACAGTAGATAATGTATAACTATATGGGGTTTGTTGAACTAACTCTCTCATTTAATATGTTGTATAACTAGGACCACCCGGGCCGAAAGGGGAAAGAGGAGACAGCGGGACTTCAGGTAACGAGCCATTTGTATTAAAGTTAGTTGCTTGCATAATTCCATATTATAAACAGGGCCGGATTTACTCTCTCTGCTGCCCCAAGGCCATGTTCCTCAATGCGCCCCCCTACCCGCCAACCCTCTACATGGAGAATGGCAGTCCTCCAGCCTGCCTACAAGTGATCTCACTTTGCAAAACAAGCAGCGGCTTCACCGCTGTACATTTAGCTCTGCTTGCCCAAAGCAGGGCTAAATGTAGAAAACAACTACCCACCCGGCGCCCAGAACTGCATGTCCCGGGCATCGGGAGATAGAAACTGCTCACCCCTGCTGCCCCTCTACTCCCTGCTGCCCCGAGGCCGGGTCTTGGTTGGCCTTGTGGGAAATCCAGCCCTGATCCTGGTAGAACACCCTAGAGAGTGACTAAATGTTTTTATGGACCCCGTTGGCAGCTGCCATGTTGTGTTTGGGCTCGCTGTGATCAGCATAACGCATTGGTTATGGAAAACCTAACTCTGAACACACTATCAGAACCATCTGGTACATGTAACTTACAACCACTTCAGGAGGCAAGAATTCTCCCCCCACCAGGCAAGGCACCACCTCCAAAGGTGATTGGTGAAGGGTCAATCTGGCCAGAAACGTGCACATATCTTTCATGCCGCTTTCTCCATCCATGCTAAACAGGACGGATAGATGAATCTCCCCTGCTGGGCTATTGTGTACTTCTGTGTACTAAGACAAGAATTCATGACCCATAGAGAGTGTCTCACTATATTATCTGTGTGAGTTTGCATCATGTGGATGTGCCTTTGTGTTCTCTCTTGCACAACTTTTCTGGGAAATGTGTTCTTCTCACTGCTCAATTGCAGCGCTTGGCTGACAGAGAACAAGACAGCCAATCTAAATGCATGCAGATTAGTGTCAGTGTGTGAAAGCTATCATTTCCGCCATAGGCAGGGATAGATCTCATTGCCAGTAACAGGAATCTGTGTGTTTATGTATGGTTGCCTAGCAGATAAGTCAACTGACCAACTGTAGATGGCAGCAAGCAACCCTGAGTCATGTGTATGTGTGGGCAAAAGGAGAGGTGAAAGTGCTCAAAGAGTCACAGGATAGCTTGGGGAATCCCGGAAGCATGATGGAATCACCTAAAGTTTCCCTCCGGTGGTGGCTGGTGGGATTCCAGACCATGATAACGATTTCACTGTCCTGTTTTACCTTCCTGAGGCAAGCCCTCTCCTCCACCAAGGATCAAGGATCTTGCCAGGAATTATGGCAGGGAGATCTTACTGGTGGAACATCCAACACAGCACTTTTGGGTACAAGGAACCTTCTTCTTATCTTGGTGGACCATTGACCAACCATTGACCAGCCATAGCAACTACCTTCAAACATCTATGTGTATGTTGAGGGACAAAAGTGGGCTCACACTTTCCACTATTGATGTTAAGGCCCTAGAAACATGCACAGTGTACACACTAATGCTCAGATCTTGGGAACCACAAACATCAAACTTCAAGAGTCTTGGTACACCAGACTTGTCCATAGGGGGTTTCTGCTGTCAGTAATATAGTGGAAATGCTCCTTTGCTCTGGCCATCAGTGAATTAGAGGTTCAGAACACTCAAACCCAAGTGTAAGAAATGTCATACAATCACTTTAATATTATTGACTTCTTCCTTAGTGTTGGAAAATCTTAAATTGCAAGTGGCCGCTATGGATAAACGACTGATGAGTCTGCAATCAAGGCTTGAGAAGCAAGAAAAAGGTGAGTTGGGTGCTTTATACGTGGCCGACATTCACCTTTGTAATGTATATCTCGTGTTCAGGGCCAATCAGTAGGCAAAAGAGACAGAGGTGAACGGAATGGGCGAGATCTGCAACCTATGCTGCTGAAGTAGTCTACAGCTCATAGTTAGGAATGAGCTTGGGTTCGGTTTGAACTTGAGTTGGTCCCAACCTGGAAGCTGTCAGGGCTGGCCCAAACAAAGAGGTGGGATGCTGGTGAAATCATTGACCTTAGATGGCCACATGGTCATATTAGTCAATATGATTGACCATACATGGCCAATATTGGCCAAACAAATCAATGCCTTCCATTGCAGTATGGCCATGTGGCCATGAATGGTCAATGGTGTCACTAGCATGATGGCCTTTTTATGTGCAGGAATGCCCCACCTGCAGCAGATTGGACCAACACACACAGCTTCCTTCCAGGTTCCAACTCAAATTCGGGCCGAACCCCAGCTCATCCCTATTCATAATCAGTAGCCATCTTGTGCAGAACTGAAGCGCTAATACAAAGCAATGCTCAACTTTGGGAATATCTCCTGCTTTTATTAAAGTGGAACTGCACCCTCCTATCCATTACAGCCAAATAACGTCCTATCTTAACCTCTATTTGGATTGCAGTTGCCAAGGTTGTGCACATGTAATCAGCAATGAGTTCGTTGATAGAATTATGGGATCATATGTCGGTCCATACTCCAGAGTACGGGTCAATGGATTACTTTCTGCCCCTTTTCAGATCCATAATGGTAATGGCAAGGTTGCCCTTTGTCCCCGCTGTTGTACATCCTTGTTATGGAAAGTCTGGCTCTATTCAAGGTCTCTGCATTGGCTCCCAGGTCCACAAGCTGGGACTATATGCGGATGACATGCTACTTTACCTCTCCAGTCCGGTAGTAGGTATTCCTTCTCTTCTACAAGAGTTTAACCTCTTTGGGGAATTTTCCAATTATCGGACCACATTAAATATTTAGGAGTGCCTATCCCCGCAAATTTATTAGACCACTATACAGGGCCGGATTTACTTTCTCTGCTTCCCCTAGGCCAGATTCCACAATGTG